TTGAAGGCCCGTCAACTCGCAGTAATCAAACAGCCTCCCGAAGTACTACTAAACGTGCGTGTGAATATGCGCACAAGTCTTTCCCCTCCGAGTCTTCGAATCAAAAAGACATATAAATTCAAATGTTTCGCAGCATTTCCGCCAGATGTAAAATAAGATACCAAAAGGAAACACAACTTTGTAATAAACAGGCCCGAGGGAGGAGTCGAACCTCCACTTCCCTGATATACTTTTATGGCCACGAAAATGAATCAGGGTGACACGCCATCGTCCACACGGGCTCCCTGGAGTGCATGCCATGATGAATATTACCTCTACTGTATCCTGTTCCGCAAAAAATAAAGCACTCCGCATTGCCATCACCGGAGGCACCTAGAGTACTGTATAATGTAAATTATGCATACGTGTTCTAAAGATCAGGATCTATCAACGTGCTATGAGGTCCTGGCATTTGATTCAGGAGATCACCAGAGCCGGACCTCGCGAGAGTCAAGAGTCGCCTTGCAGAACCAGGTACAGTAATCACGCGAGAGGTGAGAAAGTACCGACTCGCTGAATCGCTGTCCTGGGTCATCATTTTTTGGTTTCGTCTTTAAATATCAAACAGGAAAAAATAATTCGGCAATCAACACACGCCCGCGGGAGGAATCGAACCTCCGCTTCCCTCTCGCTAACTGCGGCTCTACAATGATGGGAGGGCGAGACGCTGTGCGTCTACACGGGCTCGCGATACTGGATTAATACCTATTTAGGCCGGAGATTCGGGGGATGGGGGATAAGTTGGCGCTAAACCCCGTCTTAGGTATGGCTTACACTGGGGGCAATGAACGCAGCACCTGAAAGACAGGTGATATTCAGTCATGTACTCAGCACTTTGGTGTGACACAGCACAAAGGCCTTTGTAAGGCACTTTGGAGTGACACAGCACAAAGTAATTAAGCTTGAATTAAGCACTTAGTTCTACCTAGTTAAAACAAAATGCATATCTTACAAAGGCCTTTGTGCCATGTCACACCAAAGTGCTGAGTACATGACTGAATATCACCTGTGTTTCAGGTGCTGCATTCATTGCCCCCAGTGTTATGTACGGGGCTAGATAATTCCTTTGCAAAAATACACCAGGCCCACCAACGCCTCTCCACGGATTTCTGGCTGGCTGGCAAAGTAACATCTTTCTACTCCTAAAAAAAGTCTTCGCATCGACGACATACCCACAGAGGATTCGAACCCCCAGTCCCTGTTCTGTGACTTTCTGAATGAATAAGGGTGACGCACCGTCGTCTGTATGGGCTCTTCAATGATTACCTGTATTGGAGTGGATGGACGACATCACCTACCAGTGTGCAGCTTCAGTGGAGGTAAAACGAGTCTCTGCCGTCACGAATGTCTCAATTTTATTCCCAAACAACGAGTAGGAAAAATGATTCTGACGATGTTCACCGTTCACGACTACGCCCGCAGGAGGAATCGAACCTCCGCTTCCCTCTCGCTACTTGTGGCCCGATCACGCAATTGTATGATGGGAGGGCGACACACCGCACGTCTACACGGGCTCGTGCTACTCTGCTTGTATTGGATCAGGCCTGACATTCGAGGGATGGTGGATAAGTGCTAGCGCTCAGTCTGAAAACCCTCCGTGTCTTAGGTATGGATTATTGTTGCATTATGTAGGTGGCCATTTCACTTTCCTGCACCCGCGCGGATAAATAAATCTCAAGTAACTGAGGGTTACTTTATTAGTAAAACCTCTTTCCACCCCTAGAAAGAAAACCAATAAAGAACTTATTTCTCCCCGTAATACCCGCGGGAGGAATTGAACCTCCGCTTCCCTCTCGCTAATTGTGGCTCCACTATCATGGGAGGATGGCACGCCGTGCGTCTACACGGGCTCGTGGTATTGGATTGAGACCAGTTTAGGTCGGGGATCAGAGGGAAGGGTGATAAGCTCAAAAAACCACCCACTTGTGTTTGTTGCAATTTTCCTCTCCTAGGTATGTCAGGCGTATACATGGGACGCGGCATTGAGCCGATTTTTTTTGAAAAATTCTGGGCCCAGCGCGGATGAAACGCAAGCAATGCAGAATTACTGTACCTCTCCCTTCGAAAAAAAAATTATATTCCTATTCTTCCAAGCTATACCCGCAGGGGGACTCGAACCCCTAACATGCCTATGTACCCTTAACCATTATAGCCTTCGGAGTGGCACGCCTTTCCTCTACGCGGGGTCACACAGCAATAGTTAGACTGCGGTAGGTTCAAGCGAAATGTGGTTCAAGACGCCAAAATCGAACATGACTCAGCGCGTCGCGTGATTCGGCCCACCGGACCATATTCATAATTCAAATTGCACCCGCGATGTCTCAGATAAATAACTTACGCTCGTACGATCATGTCCTCCTCAACGCCCTTCGACCCCCTCCGCCCATCCCACCACCTCCCCTTCCCGAACGGCCGTGTATACCCTACGGTAGCGCTCACGTGCGGGCACGAGTACGACGCCAACGACGACACGTGGTGGGACCGCCATACGCATGTCACGCCGCAATTCCTCCCCTCCCCGCCGCCAGTCGCATTCTCGCCCCCGACGCAAACACCGACGCGCAAGTCGACTGGATGCGGCGCGGTGGTGCACTCCGGCGCGAGGATGCACTGGAAGCCGCACACGCCCCAGCCCGAAGCGTGGCGCGCCCCAGCCGCCGGCACGAGCCCGGACGTCATCCCGCTGGAAGAAAAATACTTCGATCCCGAGGCAGCGCGGGCACTGGGGCTTGGCGCGCTCAGCGGGTGTGGGTGTGTCTTGCAGGGTGTCGGGTGTCGGGTGTGGTAAGTGCATGTCTTCCATGGATGAATAATATCTAATTGAATATATGATGAATCATTGGTGCAGTGGTAACGCCCTCGGCGCGCACCTCTCTCCTTGTGTGGCGCACGGGAACGCTGTATACCGATACAGCTTCCTGCCCGGCAACGTGTCACCGCCCCTGCCCCCCGGCGCCACTGGGACCACGCGCCCCCGGAGCTTCATCGATCACGAGGAGCGGCGCCTCCTCGACATCCTCGACGCCAGCAGCTTCCCTTCCCCGGACCCCCTTTTTCTGGCGCCCACCCCGCCGGTGCCGGAGCATGAGCGTGGGGGTGAAACACACCTCCTCGTGGGAACGCACGCGCGCGACGTCCGGTCTGGTACGCCGCGCGACCCAGAGCTGGAACGGGAGCGGGAACGGCTGGCGTCCGGATACGTGTATGTCTCCGCCCCCGACCCCGCCCGCGCTCCCTACGCCGAATACTACCGGCCGGGGAGTCGATATCAAGTCGAACGCCGCCCCCAGCGGCAGCAGCAGCAGCAGGAGCTGCGCGCACTCGCGCCCCCTGCTTACAACGCGGACGCGGACGATATCTTCTTCCGCAGCGTCGCGCAGGCGGCGCCTCCACCGGGGAATCGATATCACGTCGAGCGCCGCCCGCAGCAGCAGCAGCAGCAGCAGGAGCTACGCACACTCGTTCCCCCTACCTACGAAGCGGAGCTGGATGCGGTCTTCATGAGCGAGGTCATGGAGGCGGAGCGCACGGTGCGAGACCAGCAGGCGGCGCGCGCGCGCATGCCGCTCCCGAGGCCGCCGTACACAGGACGCGGGGTCCTCTACGGAAGGGTTACGGACAGAGACACGGACGCGGTGCAGCCTGCAAGGGTAGGGCGGGTGCGGGTTGTAGGTGTAGGTGAGGAGGATGGGGTCGAGACGGAGAGGCAGACGACACGGACGGGCGAGTCGCTTGACGCGGAGCTAACGACGGCAGCGGCGAGGGCGGTGCGGAGGCGGTGGAGGTGAGTATAAAATATTAACGTGGGGCAGTCATCCACTACGTTCAATTGTTTACATGTTTTTTCGGGTGCGTTACCTGTACGTATCTCTCAGTGTGTTCACTAGGACTGGGTTCGATCTATATCCGCCCTGCGACGTTTATTTGGGACGCGCGCAATAAAATTATAGAATAAATAAACAAGGAAGGTGCAATGCAATTCGATGCGACGATGCGGCGTTCGGAAACTCAAGGTACGACACTCTACCCCACATTTCGTTCCGATACTACTTACAGATCCTACCTATGACTATTTAAATTCCGAACCCTTGGAGTACGCGCTTAGTCTGGCGCCAGGCTTTTTTAACGCTCAACGAAACGTATTAGAGGTTTCCAACGGTAGTTTCCCTGTCTCTCTGTATCTCTTTCTCTTCCTGTGGAGCGAATTCAACGCCGTATCTCATATCTCATATACTGTACGTGTAAAAATGGAACCGGCGCCATCCAAAAGAATGACCACATCTTGTTTACGCCCGCAGGAGGACTCGAACCTCGCTCACTCTGTCCGACGGGACTGGCTCGGGAGGCCAATTGTCCACGCGGGCTTGTAGGCCCGTAAGCTTGACCGGGAATATGGCAGTAAGCAGTAATCAAACCGCCTCCTGATGTACTGGTAAGCATGCGTATCGTAAGTCTGTCCCTTTCCAGTCTTCGAGTCTCCAGAGGTCAAATATTTCGTGGCATTCCCGCCAGATCTAGAACTGGGCAGGGTACTAAAAAGTCGAAAAAAGGGCCAACACCGATATTATAGGACGATTCGAACATCGTGCGGGACTTTGATGGGTGTACGCGCTAATTGCCCGCGAAGACTTTGGCTGCTCATTAATCATTGTCGGCGCTTACATTTTCAAGCTCTGGTCATCAGTGTGCGGTTCTCCTAAACGGTGCTTATTCATCCGCATCCCCGCCACGAGGAAGAAAAATAAAGAACCCATCTCTCAACAAATTCAATACAGGCACCGTCATCGCCCCGCTCTACTCCGGAAACTTCTCCGATTTCCATCCTACGAAAATGGAGTCCCCTGGTAATCTAAACTAACCAGAGGTGGGTCGCTGTGCAGAGGTCAATCACGAGGCCTAGGGTATTTTCAATGATTCTGGTGACCAAGTAACAATAAAAAGTGCGATTCGTAACCCCATCATGCTCGCGGGAGGAATCGAACCCCCTCCTCCCTCTTTCAAGGTGCTTAGGATTAGAGGGCGACGTGCCATTCGTCTACACGGGCTTTCGGTATGCTTTGTATTCACATGAAGATAGCAGGTTCGTTTTGCATTGGGAATTCAACACCAAACGTCGATGCATCCGACTCGGAGTCGTCGGCTCATATAAGTGTAAGTGTAAAAATGGAAGCAACGCCATGGATCACAGCGATCACAGCAAAAATCTTCTTCAAATCCCTTCCACAGGCCCGAGGAGGATTTGAACCTCCGCCTCTCTCGATCTCCTTACACAAGATTCCGGTGCGTGTGCACCATTCGTCGCGGGGGCGTCGGTGTATCTGTAAATACTGGCTGAGTTCGGCTCCTTAATTTAAGTCGAAATGTTGAGCTTTCAATCGGGAATCGCGCTATCGAGCAAGTGCTGCGCAGTGCTCGGAAACGGGTTGTAAAAGTTCTCCGGCTGCCATACATTTCGACGAAAATGGAGTCAAGCTACCGGCATTTGACTCGTCGAATCTCACCAGAGGTGCGTCGCGGACGGGCGCATTTCCAATGAGCTAAAAACGTAATGTTGATGATTGCATGCCCGCGGGAGGAATCGAACCCCCCTCCCTCTTTCAAGGTTGCCTCACGTCTGGATTTACTAGGATCGGAGGGTGACGCGCCATTTGTCTACACAGGCTTGTAGCATTACGTTCAGATAGGTTTGTCTCTCCTTCTGTAGAACTGAATCAGGAAATTGAGCGATATGTGTTGTGTACAGGTACAGTCTCGCAAAAATATCAAATCATCTTGTTTCCTACTACTGAACTGTCCCCCGACACATCAGGACGCCGTTCACCGATGCGGGCTTCTATTCTCAATAGCGGCAGGCCCATAACTTCGATGAGGGAAAATCACATGCAAATACTGTAAGTGATTTTTTTTGGCTTTGAATTCTAACCGCCCATTTACGGGTCGGTACCGTGTCCAACCTGAACGCAAGTTGAAAACTAGATATCAGAGGAGTTGCTGTCTGATATTTTTCACAACTGTCATCAATCATTGTGGTATACATTTTACTCCCATTGATTGGCGAGAGAGGTTATATATCTCCGATATCCATTGCAAAGGGTCGGGGCACATCCATGCCGAAAGCGCCGGAGCTTTGCCGCATGATGATAGCCGTTCATACCGAGAAGTTCGGCACGGATCCGCCACAACGGCAAGGTCTGAAAATGCAAAATCCTGCTAGGAGGGGAATTTTGGTCACGGTTACAGTTCGCTTACTCCTACCGTCTATGTAAAACTCCTGTGTCCTCTGCGAGTTCAAGTCGATTGTCTCCGGATCCCGAAAAACGGGGCAAAGGATATTTATCATGCCCGAGGGAGGAGTTAAACCTCCATCTTCCTGTTCTATAAAGCTCCCTAGCCACACGTAATGAATCAGTATGACGCGCCATCGTCCACACGGGCTCAGAAATGAAGATAAAGCAGTGCACTGGAGTCTACTCGTCACTGAGCACTGAGAACAAAAATGTAACACATGCGTAACCTGCATGTCCATGAATTTGGGCTGGAAAGTACAGTCTTTCTAGTGAACCTCGAAAAAATATTTTTGAGACTATCACAGTGACATGCGTGAGGGAGGAATCGAACCTCCACCTCCCTGTTCTATTAACTTCGTTATATTTGACCCCAATGAATCAGGGTGACGCGCCATCGTCTACACGGGCTCCCTATAGCTGATGAGTATCACTATTGGGCTTTCCCAAACCTAGATTACTTCCACAAAATGAAAATGATCGGACCGGAGTCTACACGCACCTCGACGAGGTCTCGGGAGGGATATTGACAGTAGATTAATGTGATGTGTACTGTATGGAGCTTGAAGACATCAACACCTCTCCATGGATTTTGGCTCGCGAGTAAAGCCTTTCGACCCCGCAGAAGAAGAAAAAATTCCTTATAACCGGGGCCTAATGCTTGAGGGAGGAATCAATCAAACCCCCATCTCCCTGTTCTATGCCATTATCATGGATCAATGAATCGGAGTGACGCGCCATCGTCCACACGGGCTCCGAGTCACTGATGAGTATTACTTATACATAGGCTTTACCAAACCCGGACCAATTTACACACAAAAATGAAAATGGCGCGCCGGAGTCTATACATGCGTCACTGAGTTCTTGAGGGGCACTGAGAGTAGAATGTAATATGTATGTAGCCTGAAGAACCACCAACGCATTTCCATGAATTTCTGGCAGGTAAAGTAACGACTTCCAACTCCCTAAAAGAAAAAACTTTCCGTGTACACACCATGCCCGTGGGAGGAGTCGAACCCCTAGTCCCTGGTCTGCGAGTGTCTGCTAATGAATCAGGGTCGCGTCGTCGTTCTACACGGGCTTGCTGATGGATGTCAATGTTTACCTGGATTCGAGTTGAAGACATCGCGTCAGCGTTCATTGCGTCGGGTACCGGTGTACAGCTTCAATCTAGGGAAATCAGTCTCTGGGGTCATCACTGTTTTAATTTATTTCCAAACAACGAGCAGGAAAATGGTTCTATGAAGATAACAACGCCCGCGGGAGGAATCGAACCTTCACTCCCCTCTCGCTACTTGAAATGATCAACACATTTATGATCGGAGGGCAACACGCCGTGCGTCTACACAGGCTTGTGGTATTGGATTAACACTCGTATTTGAGGGATGGGTGATAAGGCTACAAACTACCCACTTGTGTTGCGAAGCAACTTTCTTCTCCTAGGTCTAGAACTTACATGGGACGCGGCATTTAGCTAGATATTTCTTAATTCCTAGGCGCCGCATTGATGAATAAGCACCTCAAAATTACTATATACATATCCTCCCCCACCCCCAGAAAAAAAAGAAAACACGATCGTCCCTCATTCACGGTGAATACCCGCGGGAGGAATCGAACCTCCAATGTGCTTATGTATGCTTGACTATTATAGCCTCCGCTGAGCGGCACGCTTTTCCTCTACAGGTCTGTACAGCAATAGTAACACTGCGGTAAGTCGGATAAAATTTTGCTCAAGAGCGCGCTAAAATCGAACATGATAAGTCAAACATGACACACCTTGATCCCGTGATTCGGGCCACTGATTGCACCCGTGATGTCTCAGAAAAATAATCTTTCGTACATACGACCATGTCGTCTCAAACTCCTTTCGACCCCCTCCGGCCATCCCACCACCTCCCATTCCCCAACGGCCGCGTCTACCCCATCGTGGCGCTCACGTGCGGGCAACGTGTCACCGCCGCTGCCCCTCCGGGCCGCGCGCCCCCGCACCTTCCTTGAGCACGAGACGCGCGAATATGCGCCTTCCGCCGAGCAAATAGAGCAGGAAGAGATCTTCATGCGCGAGATCTTGGAGGCGGAGCGTGCGCGTGTCCAGCGGGTGGAGGCGGAGTCAGGGCGTTTTGAGGCAGAGGTGGGGGTAGCGTCGCACGGACGCGCGCGCATGCCGCTCCCGAGGCCGCCTTACACGGGGCGCGGGGTCCTCTACGGAGGGGTTACGGACACGGACACAGGGACGGCATATGCGTATGCGTATGGGGAGCCCGCAAGGGTGGTGCGCGTTCCCGTGCGCGTTGTTCGAGATGGGGGGGGGATGGAGACGACGCAGGCGGGTGAGTTGCTTGACTCGGAGCTGGCTACGGCAGCGGAGAGGGCGGTGAGGAGGCGGTGGCGGTGAGGGTAAGCTACGCGATTTAGGATTCGTGTGGGTCACTCGTGGGGATGGTGACTGACTCGTTCACTTGTGTATGTATTTTTTTTTGAGTACGTTACTTACTTGCGTATCTGTCAGTGTGTTCACTGGCCATGGGTTCGATCAATTTCGGCACTGTGGGAAGTAGAAGAACTCAAATGTAGTACCCTAAAAGGACTCAGATGTAGCGCTACTCAATACTACATCTGAGTCCTTTTGGGAACTCAAATGGAGTGCTTTTCTGCAAAAAACCGGCTCTATATGAGTGCCTTAGGCGCTCAATGTGAATACCTTGAGGTACTCAATCGGAGTGCTTCGGGTACTCCAAGGGAGTGTTACACACTTCATTTGAGCGCTTGGGCACTCCTTCTGAGTACCTCAGGTACTCAATGGTAGCGTCAAAACACTGTCCCTGATTACTTCAAAACTAGCCTGATAATTTTCAAAAAATATTATATTCAAATCTACCTAAGTACATAAATACTACCATGACACTTATCGACCGCCGATAAACCCTGGTTTCTGTGGCTGGTGGGATCGAATTGTCGCCGTAGCTAAGACGTCAACCTTGATGGGGCGGCGGATGGGAAGTGTGGTCGACGCGAATGAAGGGCTGAAGGGTTGGACAACCGTGAGGTGCGAATGTCGCAGAGGTGAACTGCCTGTTGGCGAAGTGAGAAACTATTTTCAAAGAGTGCCCTACCGCGTACATGTACCTGGTGCCATTGAGAGAAGGACGACGCGATGGGACTTTTGTCAGTAGGTGGTAGTTTGGTTGAATAGAACACAAACCGGATATTCCAGACGACACAGCGACGTAACTGGATTAGCTCGCAAGTGAGACTAGACAGCAGGAGTACGTACTTGTGAGAGGCGCAAGTCGTCGTGTACGTGAGTGTAGATAGACGTCGAGCGATGTGTAAGACTGATGCGAGTCTCAGAGACATACGGCCGCGCGGAGCCACCGCGGCGCTTCGACATGGACCTTGGTTAAATTTGCGGTGTGTACTAAAAGGGCACGAACGCACCGCCGGATTGTACAGCATGATACTGAGCATCACGAACGAAGGCTTGGTCGAGGACGCCGCGACAAAAGAAATAGAGGAACTGCCTGTGTAATAATAATGAGACCGCGCAGATGAAGGAAACGACACCTTAAAAGGTAGCATGAGTCGTCCGCGACGCAAGTGCAGCCTACACTAAATGCGGAGGATTAGATAGCGGGCCGGATTTGCGCTCGTACTGTGGGACTATTTGTTAGCAGAAAATACAAAGAGTAAGGGAGTGCTGACTTTGGAGCACTTGTCGACGGACGGCCTGAAGCTCGCGGCGGCACTTTGACGAGGCATCT